AGTGGATTTCCACAGTATCCTGCTGATGAGATTCTTAGCTTTAAAATTTGATTCAGAAAGCATTTTGAAATGTAGCAGGGTGAAAAAACTACTGTGGTCCCTCCTGATATGCTTCTCTCTGCTTTTCTGGATGGGATCTGGAAGCTGAGACTAAAATCTGCTGCATGTTTGGCTTCCAAAAGGGTATAGTACAAAATCCTTTGGAACTTGTTAACTTTCACCAATGTTGAGGACACATGATGGGGGTTTGGAGGAGGAAAAAATGTGGCAATTATCTCCACCCACAGATCTGGGTAGTATCATTCATATAGAAATGGGAGGAACAGGAATGGGACCTTCTTCTCCAGGGATAGCATCAGCAGGATTACACTTGCTGAGCAAGGGTTGGGCATAATCCAAAGAGAACTCTCTTTTAAAAAATTGAATCCAGTGGTCCAGAGTGTTTATAAAAAGAATTCACCATAAACTAAACACTGTACTTCATTGTAATGTTCCCTTGAACATTTAGGGAATGGTAAAGCACCTTTGGGAGAAAGGGCAGAATATAAATTTAATAAAGTAATATCTTACCAAACTGAGATTTCATTTTGTGTATTCCCAGTTGGACAGGTTGAGTCCTATTGAGAAAAGTGCACACACATGTGCTGGAATTAAGCAGTGATTCCCCTTCTGCAGTCGAAGGCAGCCTGAGAGATTCGGAGGGGTCCTGCTCAAAAAACAGCTCAGATGAAAATAAAAAATACAGGTTTTCACTATTTCATGTAATATTTCCAGAGGTCCCTGTTCAAAAACAAATGTATAATTACAGCTTTGGTTACTGATGCTGCTTTATTTACCCCTTTGTACTTGGTTGCCAGAATTGCCAATAGTGCCTCTAACTGCACTGGTTTCATTTATGAACTTATGATTAACAAAACAAGTCTATTATCTGAGACTTATGCCACTGCACAGTTTATATTACAGCCACTACAGTCAACTGATATCAAGCTGATGTGAACCAGTGTGCTGTCACTATGTCAAATTGCTATACTGATTCATCCTTGTTCTGATGTCTAAATAATTTTAAGTCAAATGGGGAGGGAGGACTCTCTCTCTCTCTCTCTCTCTCTCTCTCTCTCTCTCTCTCTCTCTCTTTCTCTCTCTCTCTCTCTCTCTCACACACACACACACACACCATTCGTTCTTAAAATCATAGCAGATGAGTTCAAAGACACTGCATTACATAATTTCCAATGCTTGTTTTGAATTCCTGGGCCCTCTAGTAGCCTCTGGTAATGTTTTTCTGGAGGCCAACTCTCTTTCATCCAATACTTCTCTTATGTAATTTGTGTGTGCACGTATGAAATGTCATTCCAGAGGAAAATAATCATGGAATGATTAAAAGGTGAAACTGAAATACTATGAAAGAACAGAACAGAGGTATTTCACTCCAAGAATTCAATGGGGCAAACAAAATGTCCTTGTGCACACTTCCAATTCCCTGGCGCATCCAAAAGAGAACTGTCTCTCTCCAGGGGAGTGGAGGTGTGATAGTTTAATTTCAAATGAGGTAGGAATGGGGAGGAATGAAAAACTCAGAATATGAATGTATTGCTATAGCCAGGGCACTGGAGTCTGTTAGTGAATATTAGGAATTAATAAATGGTAGGATTTAGATAATATTTGATACTGCAATAAAATGTACTTTAAGATCATTAATCCCCCAAGATGCAAACAAGCAAATATCCTACTAAAAAATATACATTCAACTTTCTTATGTCTATGTCTCCCCAATAACATAACATTTCTTCATTGTATTTTACATTTTCTTGTTCCAATAAGATAGGAACAAACTTAGTTTTCGGATAAATCTGTGGTCCTGCTGTCCTTGACCCTGATTATGTTTGTTAATTTTATCATCTGTGCTAAGTCCTAGACCTTACTCAGCCAATTTTTTAAATCCAGGATGTTTTGGTCCATCCCCCACCACCACCCTGCTCCTGGCATATGGTCATTCAAATGGCAGTTAACAGATGAATTATCATTTCTTGGTCCTCCTAAAGTAGCACCTCTTTAGCATAACCAAGTAATATTATTAAAGGGTCCCTTGGTTGATCATAGCCTGCAAGTTCTTCTATTAATATTTTATCCCAATATAATTTGATTTTTGGACATGACTATAAAATATGAAGAAAGCCTTGCTTTTGAGCATTTGTTTTGTACCTTCATTACTCCTCAGAGACTAGATTGCTTTCTCCCACCCCCACTTTCTGAAACAGAGAGCTCTTTAAGTTTAAATATGCATTGAAGGCTGCCTGAAGCCATTTGGTTGCTTCAAAGAGAGAACTGGCAAGGCTTTGGTCCGACAAGAACACAAGAGGCTGTAGTTCTATACCTGCTTACCTGGGAGTAAGCCCCATTGAACTCAACAGGAATTATGCCAGAATAGTCATGTATATACTTGCATTGGTGTTTTTTTTGTTCACTTGGCAAGCTGTGCAGTAATCAGAATCTGGTAAATTTAACGAATGGGCCTGCTTCTGCCAGACTAACCCTTAGCCCAGGGGTCAGCAAACTTTTTTTCAAGAGGGGGCTGGTCCACTGTCCCTCAGACCTCTCCTGAAAGGCCCCCCTCTCCCAAAAGTACTCCCCCGCCGCCACCTCGTCTTTGGCAGCATCGTCGTCCTCCTCTGCCTCGGCCACGGTCCACGGGGTGCAGAGCCCATGCCGCTGGCCTGGGCGACGGAGGCAGCCTCCCTGCCACCGCTTCCTCCCGCTCGGCTCTTGGCCATATGCAGCCGCCTCAGTGGGAAGGAAGGGGCGTTGTCCAGAGGTGTCCACAGCTTCGGATTGGCTGCAGGAAGCCATGCCAGCATCGCGGCAGAACTCCGCGCCATGCTGGTTTAGCGTGGGGACTGACTGAGTGGTAAGCAGGGCCCATGGACCGGATTTACGAGCCCGGTGGGCCACATCCGGCTCCCGAGCCTTAGTTTGTCGACCCTTGCCTTAGCCAGACTACTGGACTGAAAATTAGTTGTGGTTTGGGGTGCTTGTCTCGTAAGGAGTGATTCCTCTGACCCCTATCTAACAATACTAACTAAAACACCTCACTCTTATATTCTGTCATGGAAATAATAATTGCATTACTTCAGGTGTAGGGAACCTCAGGTCTGGGGGACAAATGCGACCTCCAGCCCTTTCGTTCTGTGCCTCCCAAGTTGAGGTTTGAATTCAACTTTTTTGAGATGGCAGCAACACCGCTTGAGGGTGAGGGCCCTGAGAGCCATGGGCTTTGTGCTGCTTGGCTACAATACCAATTTCTTGTCATATCATTAGACAGCTTTACACAAAGACACTGGAACTGCTCTACAATTAGGCAGAGCGAAGCAGCCCCCTCAGACAGCAACTGCTGAGGGTGGCAGGAGACCCCCACAATTCCCCAAGTCAACTAAGATAGCCTGTATCCCTCAGCTGCGGGGGAGGATGTTGTCCCATTGACACTGTTGGAAGAAGTTTCAACTGATTTTTTGGTACATGGAACAACAGCAGTGGGGATGGGTGGGTGGACAGGAGTGCTAATTTGCCCTTACCTTTAGGCAGCAAATGGGACGCGGGTGGCGCTGTGGGTAAAACCTCAGCGCCTAGGACTTGCCGATCGTCAGGTCGGCGGTTCGAATCCCCACGGCGGGGTGCGCTCCCGTTGCTCGGTCCCAGCGCCTGCCAACCTAGCAGTTCGAAAGCACGTCAAAGTGCAAGTAGATAAATAGGGACCGCTTACTAGCGGGAAGGTAAACGGCGTTTCCGTGTGCTGCGCTGGCTCGCCAGATGCAGCTTGTCACGCTGGCCACATGACCCGGAAGTGTCTGCGGACAGCGCTGGCCCCCGGCCTCTTAAGTGAGATGGGCGCACAACCCTAGAGTCGGACACGACTGGCCCGTACGGGCAGGGTACCTTTACCTTTACCATTTCAGGCAGCAAAATGACTTGTGCTGTGTCAACAAAAGCACAACCACTTGCTTCCTTAAAAAAATAGAGATGAGATTCACCTGGAAAGGACGGCGCAACTGAGAAAACAAAAAGGGAAACAGTGATGGTTAAGACAGTGCTGTTTAAGGTCTGTGGGCGACAACTACCACTATAATAAATACCTATCCAAATGCTGGATAATTTATGATGCTTCCTGGTTCTTGTCACGCGCAAAATACAATTTGCATTATTTCAGAAGAGTAGGAGTTCTTTTCCATTACTATTGGGGATTTAATGAAACAAACTGTATATTTTTCTTTCTTCCTGTTGTTATACATAATAACGCATTTCTATTCTATATTAGCATGCTGTTGTTTTTAATATTAGCATTCTGGTTTTGCATCTCATGAGATCTGTTTAGTTTAGTTTAGAAGCTGGAAATGTGACTTTATAGGTGAGACAAAACATTCATTGGTTCCCAGCTGAAAGTCATGATGTGTTACAAATGTGCTTATAATGAAGTGCTCCCCTGTCCCACTTTTGGATTCTTAAAAGGAAAACACGATTGGACTTGAGCTTATAAGGTGCCTGTGCTGGACCATTGACCCTGCCCACTTTATCAGCAAAGGCTGCTAAATGTGTAACATTTTCTATTCTAGGAAATGATAAAGGTACAGAAGCTTGTTTGTATACTCGCATCTCATTAGCTGGAGTAACAAATGTATTTTATTTTATATTTAGTTAGTTCTCCCTGTTAATTCTCCTTGACCTCTCAGTGTCATGGTAGCCTTCTGGAGTGGTTGTCCAAGCTGGGAATGGGTGGCACCGCTTTGTGGTGGTTCTGGTCCTACTTGGATGGATGTTTCCAGAGGGTGATGTTTGGGGAGTGTTCTTTGGCCCTGTGGAGTCTTCAATGTGGGGTTCTGCAGGGTCTGATTTTATCTCCCATGCTGTTTAACATCTACCTGAAACTGTGGGGGTCATCTGGATTTTGGGTATATGTTGTGAGGAATATGCTGGTGACACACAGCTCCATTTCTCCTTTATATTTGCAGGCGTGGCAGTGGATGTGCTGGACCATTTTCTTGCCTTGGCAATGGACTGAATGAACAAAACAGCAGAGGGATTTGAAGAGATGGACCATGACTGCAGAGACAAAGCCACCAAGCCTGGATTTGGAGATGATGATTCAGGCTGGATTTTTGCCAGGAAGTTGCAATGCATCAGAGTTTTCAAGGTCGAAAGTCAGGTGCTCTGTATAATTAAGCAAACTGACATTGTCAGCTAATGCAAAGGGAAAAGCATTGCTGTCAGCAGTCATATCAAAAGTGAACAGGACAGCACTGTCCCTCCTGTAAAGGTACGTATATAAAATGCCCATTTGGCATGATATACCAGAAATGGATGCTTCAGGTAGTGGCGAAATTAGATATTAGCTTGGCAAGATTCACTTGTTGCAGCATGTGGGATTCCAGATATTTATTTGCCAGCTTGATAGAAATAAGGTATGCGATCAGCATTTCCTAACCACTCCAACACCACACACACAGATACCTCACTCCCCATTCCTAAACTTACATTTTCTAATATATTTGGGGGGGGGGTTTAAGGTCATTACCAATATGTTACCTTGATTTACAGAGTACTCCTACCTTCCTAGGGACGCGGGTGGCGCTGTGGGTAAAAGCCTCAGCGCCTAGGGCTTGCCGATCGAAAGGTCGGCGGTTCGAATCCCCGCGGCGGGGTGCACTCCCGCTGCTCGGTCCCAGCGCCTGCCAACCTAGCAGTTCGAAAGCACCCCCGGGTGCAAGTAGATAAATAGGGACCGCTTACTAGCGGGAAGGTAAACGGCGTTTCTGTGTGCGGCCCTGGCTCGCCAGAGCAGCGATGTCACGCTGGCCACGTGACCCAGAAGTGTCTCCGGACAGCGCTGGCCCCCGGCCTCTTGAGTGAGATGGGCGCACAACCCTAGAGTCTGTCAAGACTGGCCCGTATGGGCAGGGGTACCTTTACCTTTACCTTTACCTACCTTCCTGAATGAGGAGAGAGCTGTGGCACAGCCACTGCTGCAGGGAGAACCTAGCTGTATTGCGTTGGATAGGGTGAGGCAACTTTTTGACCTGCGTTTGTATTCCGTTTACATTTTATCTTCCATTGACCACAGTAGGAGCGAAATGCATACACCAGCTTTGGACTGGCGTATGGTGTGCAGGGGGAGGGGAGAGACATGTCCAAGGAATATTAAGGCTCTGGATCCTGCAAATCCATGGCCTTCCCCAACCTGCCCCCGGAATGCCTTGTTTGTGGCTTCTTTACATACAGAGGACCACCAGTAGAACAGTGACAGCAGTGGAGCTTTCTACCATTGCACTGTGAGGACTTGTAACTGCAGACCTCCCTCATGAAAAGGGAGCCTGCAGTACCCGATTTCTTGTTGACTGTCCTCCACAAAAGCTTAGGCTTTGTTCCATTAAGAATAAACACGTTTTTGAATGACTGTTGATAAAGACTGCATAAATATGGACAGATTCACTTGGTTTCACTCTGGACAAGGCCACAGATCTTTCATCCAAGTGACCATTCACCTTCAACCTTCCTTTTTGAATCTCTGACTGAACAGGCCTCAGTGAAACCTCTTAACTCAGTGGGTTCCATTCAGCTCCAGTGGCTTCAGGGCTGTTCTTGAACTGAGGCTTCCTATCCTCACGTGCTGTAATGCCAGTGGTATGCATTGTCGTTGTGCCAGTGCAATGAATTCATGACAGTATGTCACCTTGACATAGGGCCTCTCTGTTCATCTGTAATCTTTAAAACGTTGACCAGCACATTTTCTCTCTTTGCTTCTTAAAGATGAATTGTGTGTATTCCTGCATTGCACATTATTTTTATTTACCCCTCTGCACCCCAAAATAATCTCAACCAAAACATTTTCACAAGAAGGAAATTTGAACTTATCAGTTGTGAGAAATTAAGTTAAATAGGTTATAAGAATGTATGCGATATATATATATATATATATATATATATATATATATATATATATATATGCAGGTTTTGGTGTCCTCGGGTGTCTTCCCGTGTAAAAGTTGGGGTGTCTAGGCGACGTTTCGACGAGGTCTCACTCGTCATCTTCAGGCTGGTGCTTTCGGCTTCTTGTTACTGGAACATTTCTAGTTTCTCGTAGGTTCTTGTCAGCTGGAAGGTTTCCTCCCCGTAGAGGTGAGATATTTGCTTTCGTAGATTTTCACGGGTACAGGAATGCAGGTTTTGGTGTCCTCGGGTGTCTTCCCGTGTAAAAGTTGGGGTGTCTAGGCGACGTTTCGACGAGGTCTCACTCGTCATCTTCAGGCTGGTGCTTTCGGCTTCTTGTTACTGGAACAGTTACTGTTCCAGTAACAAGAAGCCGAAAGCACCAGCCTGAAGATGACGAGTGAGACCTCGTCGAAACGTCGCCTAGACACCCCAACTTTTACACGGGAAGACACCCGAGGACACCAAAACCTGCATTCCTGTACCCGTGAAAATCTACGAAAGCATATATATATATGTATATATATATATATATGTCTTTTGCACTCAGGAAGTTCACATAAAAATCACTCCAAATACAATTCAAAGCCCAAAGAAGTAAAAATATAAAAAAGAAACCACAACAAACAGAAAGCTAAAAATCTATAAAAATGCAGAATCAGCAGCAATAAAATTTTATTAGCCAGCTTCTTCAAAAGCCTTTCAAAATAAGGATGCTTTGATTAACTCATAAAAGGCAACGAGGAAACTAGCCTAGTGAGCCTCCTCATCTTTCACAAAGATGAGATGCCACCCAGGAGAAAGAGTGGCTTCCTAACACAGGAAAACTGAAGTGAGTGCAGGCATTCTTCCAAGACTGGTTGGGCCAGAGCACTTCGCGATTGAAAGGATCATAGAAGAACTTCAACTGTGCCTGAAAACCTATGAGCCAGTGAAGCTCTCAGAATGGAGGTCTCTGCAGCAGCTTTGGTCAACAATGAAGGGTGATTCTTTCTTTTTTATTATGTATAGTAATAGTATTTTCACTGAATTTTGTTTTCAGTTTATATCAACACTACAAACACAACCATGACAATAACAATAACAAGAAAACTAAAGTAAAACAGAATGTTGGTTGAGGGAGGAAGGAAGGTGGGAAAGGGAAGAGGAGCTGGGTCAGAACTTTTAGGTTTTTCTCATTTTCTATTTATGGAGCTGTCATAAAATATATTTGTATGCAGCAAGCACTGAATTTGCTGCAGGTTTGCCCTATAGTTTGGCAGGCATCTAATGTCCGTAATATACACTATTTACTTATTCATAAGACTGTTTTTAAACCATCTCATTAAAAATATGACTAAATTCATTAAAACACCATAAAATACAAATGGCCAACAAATAAATCCTGTAAATAAGTATTGATATGGGGGAAAAGATGCATAGGATGCAGCTAGTTCATGCAACTGATCCATTTCCACTGTCTTGGGGTAAGGACACTATACTTTAGGGAGGTATCCCATCAATGCTTTTTTGTCCATAAATCTTAGATCTGTTTACAATTGTGTAGCAACAGCACAGTACCACATAATATGTACCAAGTGTCCTTCGGTATCAAGGCACCAGCAGTTAGAGGAGGAGAGAATATTTTTCATAATCACAACGGGGACTCATATGTCCTATATAGCAATTTCTCTTGTAAGAGGCATTGTCTTTAACCATGAGCACCGCCTCCCACTGTGGTGGGAGTGTCTGATTCTCCAGCTTCCTGTTCTGTCCTGCACACATCAAATTGTGTTGCATCAGTTTTTGTTCTTGCCATAAGCCAATGGTAAAAAAAAAAAATTAACCATTGGTTTGGATAGTGTTGGTAAACAAAGTAGGCTACCTAATATGGGCAGCAGTTTAGAAACACTTGGGTTGGAAGGAGCAAATTTAGAATCTAACTCACATTTCTGGTTGTGTTGCAACCACAAGAGTCAGGTAGTCCATATTTCTTGATGGTAAGAAGAAAACAAAACACCAAAGCCACTTCCCTTGAGGATGGAAAGATTCTTAACCAGCTTGAGACTAAATGTTTTCAAAGACAGTCCATGCAGGGTCCATAATGTAGTCTACAAGGAAGTTGAGGGGGGGTTAAGATAGTAGTGAGATCCCTAGAGATGTACTTCATGCATTTACTTCATGGCTATATAGCCTCCTCTATCTCTTATACTCAGCATCCCCCCCCCCAAGTGATCACTATCTAAACAATCCAAGTACCTGGGCCTAATATTTCCAAGACAGTCCACCCCATAAGTCTCCCTTTCAGTGTTCATTGCTTTTATTTGGGTTATTAAACATTCTAATCTCCATTCCCTAATCAAAAACAGAGAGCCATAATTCTCAAACATTGTTAGGTTTGTTATGTTGTGGTCACATGTAGTTACACCTAGACACTGTTATGAAGGTTTCCTTTCATTACTGAAAGTGGAGACTTGACCTGCTGTTGAGCAGGCAAGATCAGAAGTCCAGGTTCCAATTACTTACATCAGGTCTGGCCAATACTAGCAGCCAATCACAGGAAGAGAATGGCATTCAGATCCATGATGATTCATGTATATGTCCAGTTGTGTTTGGTTTTTACTACATAACTAGACAGGTAAAAGGTAAAGGTAAAGGACCCCTGGGCGGTTAAGTCCAGTCAAAGACGACTATGGGGTTGCAGCGCTCTTCTCGCTTTCAGGCCGAGGGAGCCGGCGTTTGTTCACAGACAGCTTCTGGCGCAATGGGACACCTAGAAAGCAATCCTAATGGTGTCAGAAGCAAATCTCATTGAATTCAAAAGGGCTTACTTCCAGTTAACAGGTGTTAGGATTGCAGCCTTACTGTAGTTTAAACAACAATATAATAATAATTTATTATTTATACCCCGGCCATCTGCCTGGGTTTCCCCAGCCACAAGTGTAGAACAAAAACAATGCAACCAGAATTTTGCACTGGAGGTGAATAGCGCCCACTGCAACCCAAACACTCGCAAAACACCTTAATCCAGGCATTAAAATCATTGCAGTGATTGGAATGTTAATTTCATGATAATTTTAGATATAAAGTTAATTATGTTTTTGTTCCTTTTCATAGAGCCAGGAACAGAAAGTAAGTAAACGAGTACCTACAAATATAAAAAAGGCAGGCTTAGTATTTGAAATTGTCTGTGAAGATTGTGAGAAGGTAAACTACAGAGACTGTATGGTTGTGCCATCTTGCCCGACCTTATCATAAGGAAAAAGTGATTCTTGTGCAGTGAAGTTCACTTTGCCTAGATCTTTAGGTCTGATTGCTAATTATACTGCGAACAAACACTCTGCTCAAAAACCATGTCAAAGCTAGGTAAATTATGGGATAAAAATAAAATCCATTTAAAGCCAGATGAGTAGAAAATGTATATTTATAGCTGCAGTACATGAGCCAGACTTGAACTATCAATTCCTCACTTTGTCATTTAAGATTATTATTTTTAACTGTTATTATAAATCAGTATCTTGACATTTGTTTGTTATGTTTTGTCTTCATTTAATATAGCTCCTCAGTGTTCAGTTAGGCAAGAGAACTGTTCTGCTCAAGTTCTAACAGACACAACTGATCCTAGCTGCACAGAATATGCCCATAGGATTAACAAGAAGGTGCTTCCTTTAATTTGAAGGAAATGGGTAGCTACATTTTTATAATGTGACATTCTTCTGTAAGAATGGGTGGTAACTTCCAACTTAAATCAAAGTCTGCAAACCCATGTTGCCCACGTTTCCTTCCATAAATGAATTGTTCAGCAGAAGCAAGATTTAAAAAACAGTTGAACTTATCAGAACCAATAATGTAACAGTATCTACTGGTGGCAGTGTCTCCTCACTGGGGCATATAACCACCCTGCTTTACAGTCTGTGGTAAGTAACACTTTGGGACCTCATCCTTCAGATACTGTTGGACCCCAACTCCCATAAACCCCAATCAGTATGGTCAGTGGTTAGGGATGATGGGAGCTGTTAATATAGGAACACCTGGAGAGCAACAGAACCCCCACCTCTGGATTAGGTTGCTGTTAATATTCAGGATGTTTTGCTACTCCAGACAAGACTGAAAATGCCACCTCCATCTGCTCCACAGCAGTCCAGACAGCTGTGCATTCCCTGCTAAACATTGAAAAGCACGCCAAGAGGTAAGAATGATGGGGGTGGGGCGGGCAAGGCAGGAGGTAATAGAGTGCTCCAAAATTACTAGGATGAACATAGTCTTTTTACAGGATTACAGCCCATTCTTCTACGTGCTTACTTAGTAATATGTTCCCTGGTATTCAATGGTGCTTACTCCCAGGCAAGTGGACATAGGATTGTGCTGTTAATATTAACCTCTGCACTAACCCTTCAATGCGTACCGTATTTTTTGCTCTATAAGACTCACTTTTTCCCTCCTAAAAAGTAAGGGGAAATGTGTGTGCGTCTTATGGAGCGAATGCAGGCTGTGCAGCTATCCCAGAAGCCAGAACAGCAAGGGGGATTGCTGCTTTCACTGCGCAGCAATCACTCTTGCTGTTCTGGCTTCTGAGATTCAGAATATTTTTTTTCTTGTTTTCCTCCTCCAAAAACTAGGTGCGTCTTGTGGTCTGGTGCGTCTTATAGAGCGAAAAATACGGTAATTTTCACAAAATGCAGGAAGTATAATTAGGTTTTAGTTTGCTGCCTATGAAATACAACTGTATACACAAATCAGTGTAGCCAATATGCAAATATTCCTCTAACCCAGAATCCTGCTCCTACAGCCATGAGTAACAGGAGCTAGTTTTCTGACCATTTATATAAAAAGCAGTGACAACAACAAACCCTGCACCCATAAAGTCAACTCTAAACTTCATTCAGAGAAGCAGGCTCTTGAGGGTGGGGTGGGGGGGAGTCAGCTTACTGCACAAGGTATTTTTCATAAGTGCCAGAGGCTAAGTGAAGATGAATGTTCAATATGCATCCTATAAAGCATAGTCATAAACTCCAGAGCTGAGTAATGATGGTACACACTTGTAGCAGAGAGTAATAATGGGCCTCATTCAATATACAATAATGTGATACTAAATATTTATCTGCCTGTCACAAATTTAAATGAAATTCTTTCCATTGCAAAATATGCTGTGCACATATATCATAAACTACCCTTCAAGAGGGCAGGTGGCGTAAAAGGACTAACTTAAAATTACAATAATTACCTGCAGATCTACTGTTGCCATACAAATCTGATTATCCTGCGTTAGTGAACCTCTAGTTTCACAGACAAAAGTTGGGAGTCAAATGAGAAAGAAGGACACTCTTCACTTACTGCATAGATGGGCCACGTTCCTTTCTGGGCAACTTTCTGAGGACTGCATGGCAGTGGTAGATGGGGTCCGGGACAAAAATGGTGTAAATTTTACCTTTGTACAGTATACTAGTTTCTGCAGGTATTCCATCACCCCTCTCTATCCATCTATTAAACTTGAAGGACACATTCCAGCAAGCTCATAGTATGTAGAATGCATGTATGAATGAGAGCAGTGAGGGGTGCAACCTTGGAAGAGTGAGGAGATTTCTGAGGGCCAGATAGACAGATCTGGGGCTCCCCACATAACTGCTTTAAACAACTTAGCCCTGGAGAAATAGAATACATGTGACTAGTTAATAGGGTTGCCATATTTCAAACAGTGAAAAGACAGAAATGTTGAGCTATTTTAAGGCAAAATAAGCACTGCTGACATGGTGTGCCATACATCCAGATTTTCCAAAACATTTGTCCAATTTCTGCCCGGATGCTGTTGATGGGTGTGGTATTGCAGATATGTCTGGGAAATTCTGGGTGTATGGCCCCCCTAGTTGTGCAAAGATTAAGTATCCAACTGGGAGTGGAACTAGCAGTGACCACAAACCCTCGCCCAACCCCTCTTCCAGATTGACATTCCAACTCCATCAGAATCCAAAGGCTCTTTTTCTTCCCCTTGACCTCTCCTCACTTTCCCAACTGTCAGTTCAAGGTTGGTTTCCTTCTGCTTGGAACAAGTACCCATGAAGGCACTGCCAGGCTACTCCTTTCTACAAGAATGACAAAACTGTCAGTTCTAATGGGACTAGTTAGTATGCAGCAGTGACTGGAGAACATGGCTACCCTCCCATTCCCTATTTCCACTACTACACTAAACCTGTGGTGCATTCCAGCTTCCAAATTTAATTCCAGAGTTCAGGCAAGTGAATGGCTGTATTCCTAGTTCTTCAAAACTTCACAGAATGGAACCATATGTCTCTGCTCATCCTCAGTCAGAGCAGGACTGTGTCATCACAGGCAGCATAGTTCTCCGGAGGAAAGGCACATTTCATAAATCTAATCTGGTTTTTGGGGACCAGATATCATTGGTTCTACTTCAGGACATTTCCTGTCCAATTTATAGTTCTGGGCATGAGACAGTGCAGGGAAATGCCGTTAACTATTAAAAGGAAAAGAAACCGCACCCGGCAGTTCCTCAGCTTAATGCACATTTTAGCAACTGCACATTGCCTGAAGAAAGTGGCCTCATCATTTAGTTCAGGCTATAAATCCTTTGCGACAGATCTGAGCCATTTTGCTAACGGGTTGGAATGAAATCCTATACTCTGATTCTGGCATGGTCTGCACATGAAAAGCATAGAAAACCTGAGGGTAACTTTAATTGGGCAAAATAGGGAATCGGGAAATCTACTAATCCTAACGCAAGTTTAAATTGGGAAGAGGTGGAGAAAGATCTCTAGTATGTTAATTTATCTTAGGTAATTCTTCTGTAATCACCTGTGTTAGTGTTGTTTTTGAGGAGTATTCATTATTTCTGATCTAGCCCTGTTCTTGACTCTGTGCCAGCTACCACTCAGTAAATATCTTCAGCTTTATTACCATGACATTTCCATCCCTTGGAGGAATGAGTTCATTCAACAGCTGATGACACAATTTAACTGTGATTTTAGCAGACTTATTTCAAGATGATCCATGCCAGTGTCTGTTTTGTAATCCTTACTAATGCTAAGCACTGAGCAAATACCCTGAACGCAGAAGGGTTGTTCTTATACACGCTGTGACTTTCATACTTGAGCATCTAAAAAAGAAAAAGAAAAAAAGTAGTGTATGGGGATGAGTTTGGAATACATTACCTGGTAGGGGAAGAAACCTATTTATTAAAGCTGTAATACACTACGGTTTGTTTGTGCCAAATGTAATTTCCAGCTGGAGTCCTACCATTCTGGGAGTAGGAAAGGCCCTGTGATACTTGAGGACACCCTACACAAACAACAGGAGTGCGTACACATTTAAAACTCAGTGTGTATTTCAGACACTTAAGAGGATATGTATTTAGATCAATTTAGGAAGATCAGCATGACTTCTCATTGTTGGAGACAGCTATTAATAAAGGGCCTGAAGACAGGAGTGCCTGGCGTGCTCTGGTCCATGGGGTCACGAAGAGCCAGACACAACTAAACGACAACAAGAACAAGGCCTTAGCTTCAGTCTTCCACTGGACCTGGTAAGTCAGAGCCAAGAATTTATGAATTTGGTTTCAAAGAACACTGTCCACAATGGAAATTTGTCCATGCAGTGAAAAGACCCATGTGGACATAAGAACATCAATATTAAATATTTATGCCAGTGTTGTTGAAGAAAAAAGGTTGAAGAATCACTCTAAAATCTAGATGAATCTTAAGTAGGGAATTGCATTCACTGTACCCTCAATGCTTTTCCAGATTAATTTGAATTTAACACATACCTTGCATATTCTGCAGACCAGATACATAACAATGAAGCATTATCTGAGTAACTAGAACAGGAATGGAGAACCTCAGTCAGCCCAAGCACTGCATTCCCTTCTGGGCAACCTTCTGAGGTTCACCTGCCAGTGATGGGCAAGGCAAGAGGCAAATGTGGGCAGAGCAAGAAATGTAAACTTTATCTTTGTGTCTGACTTTGTATGTTCTACATACATTTACACACCCCACTCCATCAAGATAGGCAAGTGGCATTAAGGGATCCAGGACATATTCCAACCAGGCAAACAGTTGTGGTGTGAAGCAGGGAAGGGTGTGGGCTGGGGAAAGATCTAAGGCTCAGATAGAGAACCCTCTGGCATTTGGCTCCTGGACCTCAAGTTCCTCAGTCCCAATATAAAAAAATCTACATTTAACCCTGGGACCCCACTGTCATGTACTCACTGTAAGCAAATAAATAAATACCATATATAGCAGGTTCCGCCTTCAACAATGGACAATGGTACTGTGCTCGCAATTACAAGAATCTATGAAATGTTGTAGGTAGGTGTCATGGCTGCCACTTGGGCACAACCACTACATGTGCCTTTCCCCTTCCATGTTCTCTTTCTTCTGGATTGCTCACTCTCTTCCAAGTATCACAGAAGGGGAAGAATAAAAGACCGATCCAGTAGTATGGAAAAGAAACAAATTCTAATCACACATCATTAAGTTTAAGCCAGTTATGGAAATAATATGATGCTATAAAAATACAAGTTTAAGTGTGGGAAAATCAGGCAAGAAGGATAAATCAGTGACAGATCACAGAACATTCACAGGCTGTTTTCTGTGGCAGGCCATGTTAAAAAGGAAGGCAGCCAGTCTAGACACATCAGTATCTTCCTCTTGTGGTTGGACTGTGTTTTGTCTGGAACCAATAGTTTGGAGAGCCTTCAGAGTTCAGACTTCCCAAGGGTTCTTCAGAGCCACCTGTCTTAATAACAGTGTTTGGACATGTGCACTACAGCCAACCACAGCTCAAGAGCAGTTAACATCCAATTCTCTACTGAATTCAGTGGAAAGAGCACAAAATTAGAAACCTTCAAAATGTTATTTGCCTATACATTTTAAGCAATGTGTGTTGTTGTTTTTTACCAACCTCTTTGAGTTGACCCTCACATGGTTCCTATTAAAAAGAAATGCCAGTAAACCCACAAAACTATAATCAGCTGCTAACAACCCAAACACACTTTCTTTTTAGCGCTCTCTACAATTGGGGGTGCTTCAGTTTCTCACAGAAAACTGCAACACCTGTAAGGCACTAGAGTGTTTAAGCACAGTAGGTGCAGAAATTTTAAAGCTAGAGACATATTAGGTGGACTAACCAGGGCAACCATCATCATTAGAAAAAGGTCTTATATCTTCCCTCCCTTTCCTATTCCCCTATCACTCTATTTTGGTACCCAGAAAGAGGAGGGTTCACAGAGCAAAATAAAACAGTTTATTTAGGGTAAAAACAGAGCTTATAAGAATTTAACTCAGGTGCCACTGCCTACTTTACTTTTTTTATTTTTATTTTTAAATATTTTATTAAGGATTTTTTTGTTTTACAGAAGTGTAATGCCTCATATTTTTTTCCATGTAACATTTTTACAAATCCGTTTCATTTGTTGAGACATTAGGGGGAGAAGAAAAAAAAGGGGGGAAAGGGGGGTGGAGGGAGGGAAGATGGATG